GGAACTGGCGGTTGTGCTGGGTTTCCCCAGAAAGCCTCCTGGGCGCCTTTGGGGTGCTTTTTGGTGCCCTTTTGGGCGCTTCACAGGGGCCTATGGGGGGCCTCTAAGAGCTTCGAGGTGGGTTCTCACGGGTCTCGGGGGGCCGAGGGCTCGACATGCAGGCTCGGGCTCCTCTCCAGTTTTGCGGCGGTCTAGAAGCTCTTTTGGGCCATGCTGGAGGCCTCTGGGGCCGTTTTTGGAGTCGTTCGGAGGTTTTCTTTGCCTGTTAAGGGGCTCTCTTGGAGGCCTCTGGTGCCGTCTGGGGGGATCTTGGGAGCCTTTTCGGGGCCTCTTTGTGGCCCCTTCGCCTGTTTTGGGCCCTGTGTCCCTCCGTTAGGTTCGTCTGAGAGCCCATCTGGGGGGCATTTTGGGCTGTCTTGGGGCGACCCAGGACGCTTCTTGGGATTTCTTGGATGGTGTGATCGCAGGAGAGGCACATGTGCTAACCATGCAGGCTTATCCGTGGAGATGGGGCGATTTTCACTCTTGTGGGCCGTCTTGGGATGCCTCTTGAGGGCTTGTGGGGGCGTCTTGGGGGCTTGTTGGGCCGTCTGGAGGCCATCGTGGGTTGTCGATTGATTTTTCGGCTGCTCGAGGCCCTCTTGGACCGTGCAGGGGGCCCCTGCTTGGGGGACCTGTGCCTCCCCGTTTGGGTCGCCTGATGGCCCTCTGGGAGGCCTCTTGGGTCATCTTGGGGCAGCCCAGAAGGCTTCTTGGGCTGTCTTGGATGTTGTGATCGCAGGGGAGGCGACCGTGCTGGACCTGCAGGTTTTCCAATGCGAATGGGCGATTTGTGCTCTTCGAGGCCGTCTAGGGACGCCTCTTGAGGGCTTCGTGGGGCGTCTTGAGGGCCTCCTGAGCGCCTAGAGACCAGCGTGGGCGTTTTCGATCGATCTGTCGGAGGCTCGTGGCCCTCTCGGACCGTCTAGAGGGCCTCTTGGTGGCCTCTTGGCATGTTTGGGGGCTCTCTGCCCCCCCGTTGGGGTCGTCCGAGAGCCCTCTGGCGGGCCTCTTGGGTTGTCCTGGGGCGGCCCAGGAGGCTTCTTGGGCTGTCTTGGCTGGTGTGATGTTCAGGAGGCGCATGTACCAAACATGCAGGCTCTCCCATGGAGATAGGTAGGTTTTTGCTCTTGGGGGCCGTCTTGGGACGCCTCTCGAGGGCTTCGTGGGGCGTCGTGGGGCTTCTTGGGCCGTCTGGAGGCCAGCATGGGCGTTCTCGATAGATCTTTCCGCGGCTCGTGGTCTCTTGGACCGTCCAGAGGCCTCTTGGTTTCCTCTTGGTTGCCTCTAGACCTGTTTTGTGGGCCTCTGTCCCCTCCCGGGGGCCTCTTGGGCCGTCTTGGGGCGACCCCAGGGGTTTCCTGGGCTGTCTTCGATGTTGTCATCGCATGAGAGGCGCATGTGCTAACATTGCATGCTTCCCCATGGACCTGCGGCGATTTTTGCTCTTGCGGGCCGTCTGGGGACGCCCCTCGAGAGCTTCGTGGGGCACTCCTGGGCGTCTTGGGGGCCTCTGGGCCGTCCGGAGGCCAGCGTGGGCGTTTTCGATAGACCCTTCGGCGGCTCGTGGCCCTGTCGGACCGTCCAGAGGGCCTCTTGGTTTCCTCCTGGCCTGTTTTGGGGCCCTCCGCCCTTTCGTGACGCGCTCGGTTGGTCCTTCGGAGACCCCCCCCTCCAAATCGACCAGACCAGGTTTCCGGGGGAGGGGTTTGGGGAGGGGCGAACATCTCACACCCCGATGAACCCCGAGGGGTCGGCGGATTTCGGAAATTCCTTTCCCGAGGGAGTATCCATACATAGTGCAGTTTGCCAAGGATTGATATCCCACAGGTGGCTGCTGCTGCTGTTCGTAATCCTCCTCTCTTGGGCCCTCGGGGGCTTCTCTCGCCGCCGCAGCTGGACGCGACGTGGTTCGAGCGCTGTTTGTGCGCGGATGTGTGCGGCGGGGAGAGGGTGGAGGGAGAGAGGGGGGAGCGAGGAGGGACGGGGAGGGCGGGTAGGAGAGGCGAGCGAAACGAGGAGGAACAGGCCTAGAGTAAGCCCAGGGTGCACCAGCGATGCTGGAGCACGCCCCTCGAGCCAAACGGTGTTCTGGCGATTTTTCGTGCACTGTCTTCGTTTTGATTTCCTTTCGCAGCAAGGGCAGGACGAAGACAGAGCGAAGGAACACGACATCAAACCGAAAACGAACAACACTGCTTCGTTTTGACTTCGTGTCGCAGCAGGGGCAGAACGAAGACAGCACGAAGGCAACACGACATCAAAGCGGAAACGAAAGACACCGCTTGGGTCGAGCGCTGCTCCCCTCCTCATTGAAGTCCCTGCAGGCATCCCTTCCGCACTGCGGGCAGCACCCCCTCGAAAGAGACCAGCGGCGCCTGCTCTCCAGGCGAGGGGGCCCCAGCCTGCACAAAGGGAGGTGCGCGGCAGCCCCCTTGGCATCGCTCGGACGTGTGCACTTTTCTTTCGGCGAGGACAATCGAGGAGCATCCTC